GCCTTTTGTGGCCCCGTTGCAGCCCTTCGTGGCCCCCTCGCTGGCCCCGTTGCAGCCCTTCGTGGCCCCCTCGCTGCCCTTCGTGGCCCCGTTGCAGCCCTTCGTGGCCCCATATATGTGTGCCCTTCGTGGCCCCCGCTCGTTCGCGCCCATCGTGGCCCCATATGCATGCCATTCGTGGCCCTGCTGTCGCCCTTCGTGGCCCCCTCGCTGCCCTTCGTGGCCCCATTGCTGCCCTCAGTGGCCTCGTCCTTGCTCTCCGCGGCCCAATATACGTATGCCCTTCGTGGCTCCCGCTTGTTCGCGCCCGTCGTGGCTCCATGTGCATACCCTTCGTGGCCCCGCTGTCGCCCTCTGCGGCCCCCTAGCTGTCCTACGTGGCCCAGTTGCTACCCTCAGTGGCCCCGTCGTTGCCTTCTGTGGCCCCGCGTTATCTGCCCTTCGTGGACCCCGCTCGTTCGCTCTCTTCGTGGCCCCATACGGATTCCTTTCGTGTCCCCGCTGTCGCCTTTCGTGGCCTACATCGTGCCCTTCGTGGCCCTGCTGTCGTTCTCGCTCTCGCTCTCGCTTTCGCTTGTCGTCGTTGTCGTTGTCGTCTCCGTCGTCGTCGTCGACGTCGTCCTCGTCGTCGCCGTCGTCGTAGTCGGTCCCCTGTCCGTCCCTCTTGGGGTCGGGTTGCCGCCGGTCAGTGCTGCCGCTGGCCAGGCCGACGGTCCGCGGCCGCCCCGCCGCTTGCCGGGGCCCGGCCTGCAGGGAAGAAAGGTATACCCCCCAAAAGGGGAACGGTCGAAGACGAAGGGGGCGGATATCGAGGGTTTGAAAAATTCGTGTTAACGGACACTCGAGCAGATAAGAGCGAACAGTCTTAAAATGATTGCTGTTGAGTGTATATTACCAAAACATTAATGTTGTTGGACCTCCCTTGGGCGCTTTGGCGGTCTCGCCTCGGCGCCGGCTACATTTTCATTGAAAATGAGGCTCACGCTCGAGCGGTTTTGGGGGGGGCAAAACTGGCCCCCCAACATCAACAACGATCCCGCTCGAGACGTCCTCCTTTTTCCCTACCTAGGCTCTGCCTAGAAGGGTTCTTACTCTCTTAGCTTAAAATGGCCGGGCAATGGAAATCGCCCCGGGCGGTTCCCCCAGTCCCCTGGGAGCGTTTCCCCGTAGTCCCCTGGGAGCTTTAGCTTTAGCTTTAGCTGTAGCTTTAGCTTAGCTTTAGCTTAGCTTTAGCTTAGCTTTAGCTTAGCTGTAGCTTTAGCTGTAGCTTAGCTTTAGCTTAGCGTTTCGCTTAGCTTTTCGCTTAGCCGTTAGCTTAGCTTTAGCTTAGCTTCAGCTTAGCTTTAGCTTAGCTGGAGCTTAGCTGTAGCTTAGCTTTAGCTTAACTTTAGCTTAACTTTAGCTTTGCTTTAGCTTAGCTTTAGCTTAGCTTTAGCTTAGCTGTAGCTTAGCTTTAGCTTAGCTGTTGCTCAGCTTTAGCTTAGCTGTAGCTTAGCTTTAGCTTAGCTTTAGCTTAGCTCTAGCTTAACTTTAGCTTAGATTTAGTTTAGCTGTAGCTTAGCTTTAGCTTAGCGTTACTGTTACTACTAATGCTGCTTTCCTAGGGGTTCCAACTCCTAGGTAGGGTCGCGCTGGGATGATTTACTCAGGGCCGGTGCTCTTGCTCGCCGCCGAAAAAGCAGCCGTCCCAACAATACCAGCGCTACCGCTCGAGACTTCTCCCCGTTTTGCCATGGACTGGCGCGCTACTCTTTCTCTCATCGGCGCCGCCCCCAGCAAGAACAACGCTCCCGCTCGATACCTCCTCCCTTCTTACTCAAGGCGGTGTTCCTCCTCGCCGCCGACAACCGCCGCCCCGACAAAACCAGCGCTCCCGCCCGAGACTTCCTCCCGTTTTACGCTGGAGTGGCGCCCTTCTCTCTTTTGAGTTGGCGCCAGCAAGAACAACGCTCCCGCTCGAGGTTTCTTTTTTTTCTCAGGACGGCGCTGTTCCTCGCCACCGACAGCCCCCGTCCCGACAAAACCACGGCTCACGCTCGAGACTTCTGCCCTTTTTACTCAAGGCGGTGTTCCTCCTCGCCGCCGACAGCCGCCGTCCCAACGTTGGACTAGCGCCCTAGTTTTTTCAGCATTGGCGCTGCTCCCAGCAACAACAACGGCCCTGCTCGAGACTCTCTCCCTTTCTATTCAGGGCCAAGTCCTTGCCTCACCGCAGACAGCCCCCATCCCCACCAAGACAATCCTGTCTTTCGATACTTCCTGTGATTTACCGTTGGCTGGGGCTCCATTGGCTGTCTCGCATCGGCGCAGCAAGGCGCGGGCATGCTTTTTCGAGGCGGGATATGCCGAAATTCCTCGGAGGAGGTGTCTGCAAGACCTCATTGGGCGGGGTATTTGGGAATGGGAAAAACGGACCCCGCTATAGAGCAAGAGTCCCCCATGATGGGGATGGTTATCATGATGGTCGCATGCTTCGTGTGGAGATATCGCGCATGAGGGTGAAATTATTACTGTTGTTGAACTCTCATGTTGTTGTTGTTGTTGTTGTTGTTGTTGTTGTTGTTGTTGTTGTTGTTGTTGTTGTAATTGTTGTTGTTGTTGTTGTTGTTGTTGTTGTTGTTGTTGTTGCTGTTGTTGTTGTTGATCCCCCTGCCCAGTGCACACTGTATTTTTTCGATTGAAATGCCCCTCCCGGGGTTCGCATCCTGTTTTGTATCAGGGAAAGTCTCGAGGGTCAAATTGTGTCGTCGGCCCCCGGTTTACAACAACAACGGCTCCCGCTTGCTATTTCCTTACAATGTATTGAAGAATCGCGCTCTCGCTTGGGACATCCTGGCGATTTGCCACCGAATCGCGGCTCTCGCCTGGTTATTCTTGACAGTGCATTGCAGAATCGTGTTCTCGCTTGGGATTTGCTCGCAATTTACCACCGATCCGCTTTGCTTGATATTTCCCTACAGCTTACTCATATGCCGATCCTCGACACTCAGGACCCGCTCTCTCGTTACATATTGCCTGGCGGTTCAAGCAGGACTCACGCTTCAACAACCCGCCCGCTTGACCCGCCCGTCGGGGCCTGCCCGCCCGACCAGCCCGTTAATGACTGCAGTCGCCGCTCACTGCCCTTCGCCCGCCTTCGATGCCCCTCGCTGCCCGTACTGGTTCCGCGGTCGCCTTCACTCGCTGCCCTTCGTGGCCCCG